AAAAAAAAAAAACTAGGTTCCCCTCAGGGGCTGAACAGGTATGGAAGATGGGCCGGACCTGGGGACCAGTGTTTTACAATGTGGATTCCAACTCTGGGACGACAGATAAGGCACGGAAACCCGAGCCTCAACTGTAAATCGGGGGCCCACCCGTACTGCGTGCTAATGTCATTCCGAGCGTGGGTTAGTGACATCTGGCTCGTGCGATGCCCGGACCTGGGGCCGAGTTCTTGGTCAAGGCAGCCTTTCCCTCGCTTGAGGTGGTTCCAGGTTCTGCCTGGAGACAGCCTGACCTGGGGCCAGACCCAACTAGGCCACCTCCGGTTGTGTCATTTTGTACAAGGTCCTTTTCCTCTGAGCCTCAGTTTCCTCGTCTGTAACAAGAGCTGGCCGGAGCCCTCCTAGGAACGTTGGGAGGGACTCCCTGGGATGGCTGGTGTCCCCACGCAGTGCCTGGCACGCGTGCCGCGTAAAAGTCGGCCACCCCGGGGATGATGTGTGACGCTTCCCTGGCCCCCGCTTCCCAGGACCCCCCTGGTCTTGCAAATCGCAGGTGGCAGAGCGGCTGGACATCCTGGGGGGACTGACACATTCCCCTCAACACCCTGCGAGGAGGGCAGGTTCTGGTGCCCCCGCCCCCCTCGCTCCTTGTCCCCTGCCCTCGCCTGACCCCCTTCAGCCTGCATCCTTCGGGCTCTCGCGAGGATGGCGGCGGGTGGAGCGGGACCGGAGGAGGGTGCTGTTTGCTTAGGGAGGGGAGGGCAGCAGGGTCTACGCACCTGTATATACCAGCTCGGCGAATTTCAGGCCCAGGCCCTGTTTGATTTTGCGCACTTCCCGATCCATGGTGAAGGCCTCGATGTCTAAATGAGCGTGGTAAAGGACCGTCCCTGCTGGGGTCTCGTAGATACCTAGCCATTTTTCCAGGCAGGGGGAAAAGGAGAAAAAAAGAGAGAAACGCATGAAACCCAAACTGTCAGCAAATGACAAAAAAATGGAAAAAAAAAA